ACAGGGCATCAATGCCAGCACCAGATGAGGCAACAGTGACAACACTGTTATCATTCCATCTGCAGACAATATTGCCTTTGCCACATATCAACTTGATAATTGAATGTGCCTTGTTCCTTTTTCTTCAGAGCTACATCTGATTCCAGTGGAGCTTTGTCAATGCGATCCTTTCTTGCTATACCTTTGCCTGATGTCCCATTGAACTGAGCTTATCAAGAAGTGCAATACTGGTGAAAAAGTTAGCGAATACAAAATGGTATCATCCAGGGTGTGCCTTTGAGAGTGCCTCACTAAACTGAAGGACAAGTGATGCACTGACACCACATTCCTCATGTTTAATACTTGGGGTTTTACCCTGATGTGGCTGAAACCAGCTAATATATCCCAGACGTGTTGTGCCACACCAAAACCAATAGCCAAAATGAATGGGCTTTCTTCTGATAAATTACGTACACCCATAATGACCAAAATAAGAAACTATACATTCATCAAAGCTGAAATATGTTTCATTTGGAAAAAATTTCATAAATCTCTCATTGAGAATGCTTATAAGAGGTCGCAACTTGGAAAACTTGTCTATTGGATCCAAATTTGCATTGTCAGCAACCTGCAAATTAGAAAATATAATTTCAAAGCAGTCGCATCTCATGGCAGCACTAACGAGTCCATTATACACATCTGTTCTTTGTTCCCAGAACATACACCTTCTAGGAACTGAGACGTAACCACTGAGAAAAATAATTCCCAGAAAACATTTGAGTTTGGAGCCAGTCAAGCCAAGATGTACACCTTTACCTGCAGCATATAAATTGGAGTACATGACAATGAGTTCAACCACCTCATCATCAAGAAATAGTTCAAGAATTTCTGTGGGAGTTCTCATTTTGGTGAAGTCATTTGGTGGTTCTGTAACTCCACCTGCTGTGGGCCATGCAGTTCGGTCAGCTTTTTTCCGTCTGGGAACAATTTTTGTCACTTTCTTTTTCTTTGATGGAGGAGGCTGCTGCACAGTAGACGCAGACGCAACTTCACCATTACCATTAACAGCATCATCTCCAGGTGTGTATGAGGGGTCATCTGAGTCAGGCTCAGCACCACAGCCTTCTTGAATAAGATATGCAGGTGCGTGCCGCAAAGAGCATGGCAGGTTATTTATTGTTCCCTCTTCTTCATCTCTTGAGTCCCCATCAGAAACAGGGGCTGCAGCATTCTCAGGGGGTTGTATCACTACTGCACTTGCTTCTATGCTGTCATCTGTCTCTAAGGTCAGCAATTCCATGTAAATGCAGAGTTCGAGGCATCTTGAGACTTGTAAAATGATTCCAACCGGCTCACAGACCGCCCCCGCAGCGCGGCCCCTGCAGTCCAATGGCGTCACGGGGGCGCCGCGTGCCGGCTCCATCCGCGCCCCGCCCCCTCGACCCAGAATTTTTAAAGAAAGCCCAGACAAGCAGTGGGATAGAACAGTTGTTGTTCTAACAACCCTGACCTCTATTTCCAGGGACTTTTTCACCATCCCCTTGTGTGGTCAGACCATGTTTGAGGGCCAACCAGTGAATCACTTGAGGGAGCTCCTGGAGAAAGGAGCCATGTATGATAAAGGAGGTGCACCCCTTCCCGTGGCACTCCCACACCTGCTCCCTGACACTCCCCTGCTGTCAGCCCCACACACTACCTTGGTCAGCCAGCCCTTGACAGTGGGCTTGGTGCCACCCCGAGGCAGGATTGGAGGCCCAGTGGTCTGCACCTTCAGCAGGCTTTGTAGCACTCGGACCCACTCCTCCAGCAGGCTGGGTGAATCAGCCGTCAGGTAGTAGGTTTTCTTCTCAGAGATGAGCTATGGAGGGTGAGATACAGGATCAGGTGTGGCCAGACAGGAAGATGGCCCTGGCTCTGGGGTGGACCAGACCTCTGAACCCACCAGTGGGCCTTCCTTCTTCCTACTTTGTAGCTTCCTCCCTTCCTTTCCTCCTCCTCTTCTCTCTGTCTTTCCTTCCTTTTCTCCATTTCTCATATATTTTGCTCATCTTCCTTTCTCATACTCACAAACTAGGATTACATCCAAATATGGATCTCAAGAATTCCCTTCATGCTCATTTGCTCCATCTTTGTCTCAATCACAGCCAAACCCAGAACCTCTCCTGTCTAAATACTAGGTGCTAGGAGAATGCTCACCTGGAATGTCTGGGCACCCTCCCCCCGAACAATTTGACAGCGGGAGTTCAGATCCACTTGACCTTGAGGTTGCCGGATGACATCACTCTGTAAAGAAAGGAATGGGAGGAAAGTGATTGGAGTGTGGCGCCCTCCCCTTATTGTTTACTGCAGGTCAAAGGCAAAGGGGAACGAGATCCCAAGATTCCTGGCTATGTTATGGGTAACTTATTATAGACTCTGGTTCTAGCTAAATGAAACCTTAAATAGAAACATGATCCTTCTGACCCAGGCCTCAAAAAGGATAGAATGAGTCTTTAAAATTGGATCAAAAGCCACTTGGTTTTTGTTTTTTTTTTTTTTTGAGACAGAGCCTCAAGCTGCCCCCCTAGGTAGAGTGCTGTGGCATCACAGCTCACAGGAACCTCCAACTCCTGGGCTCAAGCGAGTCTCCTGCCTCTGCCTCCCAAGTAACTGGGACCACAGGCACCTGCCACAACGCCCAGCTATTTTTTGGTTGCAGTCCTCATTGTTGTTTGGCGGCGGCCCGGGCTGGATTCGAACCCACCACTGTAGGTGTATAGGTGTATGTGGCTGGCACCTTAGCCACTTGAGCCACAGGCGCCAAGCCAAGCCACCTAGTTATTACTGAACCATAAAGCCCTTAAATTTTTTCTACTACTTCCTTTACACCAAGTATAAGTAAGTAACATACATGAGGGCTGTCTCTATTTTTCATAGTACATAACTGGATACTTTCCAGGCTGCCCTAGTATATTACTACTAGTATCCTTTCCAATGTCACTTCAGACATTAACAATCAATCGTGGCACACTTTCTCACTGAGCAACACAGGCCCAGAATAACACGGGCGTTCAAAGACAGCCACTGCTAATCAACTAGAGTTGCACAAGAGGCCTTTTTTGCTCTCTTTAAAACATTAAAATTGGTCATTCAGGCCAGGTACAGTGGCTCACGCCTGTAATCTTAGCACTCTGGGAGGCCGAGTCAGGTGGATTGCCTTAGCTCATGAGTTTGAGACCAGCCTAAACAACAGCAAGATCCCATTTCTAAAAATAGCTGGGGCTCGGTGCCTGTGGCTCAAGTCACTAAGGCGCCAGCCACATACAACCTGAGCTGGTGGGTTCGAATCCAGCCCGGCCGGCCAAACAACAATGACGGCTACAACCAAAAAATAGCCAGGCGTTGTGGCGGGCGCCTGTAGTCCCAGCTACTTGGGAAGTGGAGGCAGGAGATGGAGGTTGCTGTGAGCTGTGATGCCACAGCATTCTACCCAGTGCGACAGCTTGAGGCTCTGTCTCAAAAAAAATAAAATAAATAAAATAAATAAAAATAGCCGGGCATTGTGGCAGGCACCTGTAGTCCCAGCTACTCAGGAGGCTGAGGCAAGAGGATCACTTGAGCCCAAGAGTTTGAAGTTGCTGTGAGCTATGATGCCACAGCTCTCTACCGAGGGTGACAAAGTGAGACTCTATCTCAAAATAAAATAAAATTGGTTCTTCAGGGAGGTCCCATCAAAATAGGGCCTATATCTAAGGCCTCTTAATTCCAAAAGCGGAGGAAAGGAAGTTGGAGGAGACCAGTGAAGTGGCCTGTGCAACATGAGGGTAGCCTGGGAACAGTTCTTTTATTGAACCAAGCATAAGAAGAAATCAGCTTCTGAAGGAAGAAGGAATTGCCAAGCTAACTGGCCTACAACTGCCTTTGACTGTCCCTGCCTTGTTTCACTGTGAGACCGGGTTACCAGCTTCATAGTCCTTTTGTGTGCCCAGTCAGATGGCCTCCACCTGCCTGCCAGACCTGTGCTCTTCTGGCCTTAGCCCACAATGGTCCTCTCCATCCCAGCTCACACAACCCAGGGTCTGGGGCAGGGGCCTTTCCACGAAAGTGCTGGGGAGGAGGCTCTCACCGGGGACTTGTAGTACATAATCTGTCCCTGTCTCAGCACAAACCAGCGCCTCTTCCATGTCTTCACCCGGCTCCCCATTTTCAGCAGGTAACCTGACTTCTCCAATGACTCCTGAGGGATGAAAGTGTGTAGGGGAAGAGGGAGACAGAAGCGAAATCACTTGGGGCTCCTGGACATCACACAGGCCTAAATGGTCCCACAGAGTCATGGCTTTGTTATCAAGTAAAAAACTTACTAAGTACCTACTACATGTATTTTCAGAACACCATGCCCTGCTGAGGATTCAGGATTCAGAGGGGACTGAATAAATCATGGGAATCATGGGTGGCTCAGCGCCTGTAGCTCAGTGGCTAGGGCACTAGCCACACACACCACAGCTGGCGGGTTCAAATCCAGCCTGGGCCTGCTAAACAACAATGACAATTGCAACAAAAAAATAGCCAGGCATTGTGGCAGGAGCCTATAGTCCCAGCTATTCGGGAGGCTGAGGCAAGAGAATCACTTAAGCCCAAGAGTTTGAGGTTACTGTGAGCTATGACACCACAGCACTCTACTGAGGGCAACATAATGAGACTCTGTCTAAAAAAATAATAGTAAATAAATAAATAAAGCATGGGTGGTCCTGCTTGGAAGGGCTCCCACAACAGATAGGGGAGACATCACCGTGAAAAGATGGCAGATCGGCTCGGTGCCTGTGGCTCAAGTGGCAAGGCGCCAGCCACATACCCCTAAAGGTGGCGGGTTTGAATCCAGCCTGGACCCGCCAAACAACGACGGCTACAACCAAAAAATAGCCAGGCGTTGTGGCAGGCGCCTGTGGTCCCAGTTACTTGGGAGGCGGAGGCAGGAGACTCGCTTGAGCCCAGGAGTTGGAGGTTGCTGTGGGCTGTAAAGCCACGGCACTTTACCCAGGGCGACAGCTTGAGGCTCTGTCTCCAAAAAAAAAAGAAAAGATGGCAGATCAAGGCTTGCAAGAGGGAAAGGCTGGCCAGGGAGGTAGGTGACTGGGAAAGAGCTAGAGCTGGCCTTTGAAGGAAAGGCCAGCCTCTCCCTCAAAGATCAGCTGAGAGGAAGAGGAAGGCAGCATGGCAGGGGGAGAGGGCAGGACAGCCTGGGGGACTCCAGGCACATCAGCCAGGCTGGGCGGAAGGTCACCAAGCCGGGGAGATGGGGATGGGGCGGCAGAGAGGTGTGGGGTGAGGGCTGGAGAGTTGGGCAGGTCCATGTTACTGCCATGACAGATAGTAGCACATCTCAGAACCTCTGGCTTCTCATCTATGAAATGGAGCAATAATCCCAAGAGGACCGTGAGGACTGTGAGACAAGGCAGGAAGGCACTGAGCACAGTGCCTGGCACCCTGGGAGAGCTCAGGAAAGGTCAACTGGAGGGAGCATTCCAGGGTCCAAGGGGCAGTGGAACAAGGTAATGTATGTAAAACTCAGGGGGCCTGTGGGCTGTGGGGGGCTCTCAGCAACCGGCCATTCCTGGCATGTGAGGAGTTCACTGGGCTCCCTTCTTGTCTCCCTCGTGGGACTGTGTATATCTGACCCCATAACTATACACAAACCAAACCCCCAACCCAGCCCGTACCCCACTCCCTCCACCAAGCCCAGAGTCCCCTGTCCCACACAGCTGCTGCCTGTATCTTATATGAGAACCACATGCAGCCTGCTGGCACTCTGCTCCCACCCTGTCCCCTATCCCCCAATAGGGTGTGGGATGTGCTCCCAGCTCACCCTGCCTAGGCCCAGCCCGTCGGTGGAGTAGGACGAGGTGCGCTGCAGCTTGTGCTCGGGCTCTGAGTAGTCACTGTCCAGTGAGCAGGCATCTGGGGGGATGGCGTAGTCGCCCTCGGAGCTCAGTGAGGACATGGAGACACCTTGCCACGGGAGGAGGGGTCATGGCCGGGTCCCACACCTCTGGACTCATGCAGCCCAGGAGCTGCAGAGCCTTCACTACCTTCCCAGGACCTTTCAGTCTGGGGGAGGGAGGCACTGCTGGGGGTCATGAGCACAGATCAAGCCGGGACCCCATCTTCAAATGCCCGTAGGAAGGGGTGAGGGGCTCCTTGTTTCTGCACTCCACCCTGCTGCCCTCCTCTTACCTCTCTTGATGGCTCGAGGACTGCCTAGTCCACTGGTCTTCCTGGACTCAGAGCAGGGCACTGAAGTTCGAAAACTCGCCTGAGAGCTGCAGTCATCATCAGACCCAGAGGAGTCCTCCACAAAGGGCACACTGCTGATCTGGGTGGCTCTCTGAAAGACAGGCCCCTCCCCACTGCAGCATGCATGCTGGCTCCGAGGACCCAGGATGTGGCCAGTATAGCCTTCTGGGGCAGGTATCTGAACCACCCAGTCAGGTATCTGAACAAACTGTTCCAACATAAGGTCCCTCCTGGCCTCGCTCCTGTGTCATTACCTTCAAGCCTCTCCCTCGTCCTCCCTCCCCAACACTATCTTCTGTGGTCCCCAAAGCAGCTGCCCCATTCAGACTAAACACCTGCATGCTGTCACCCCCGCTCTCTGCCACTAGGGGGCTAGAAAGCCACGCCACAGGCCAAGTGTGGACAGGCGCTTTAAAAATATGTGGAGATATTGAAACAATCCGTGAGAGATCATCTCGACTGACAAGGCATTAAAGCAACTGATTATCTCAGTGCTGGTGGGAGTATGGAAAGAACATGGAAACAGGATGTCCTAGTGTGTAGGGTGTTTCTAGAAGGTAATTTGGCAGTACCTGTCAAAAATGATTTGGCCAGAAATCCCACCTTTAGAACTCTGTCCGATAGAAATATGTATGTATACATTCACAAAGATGTATTTGTATAATGATGTTCATTGCAACACTTATATTAGAGAAAAATAGGACCATGACCTAAATGGTTAATATAATCATCAGAGGAAAGCTAAGGTAGTGGCCAGAGGCTACCAAACGCTACTGGCCAGCCACACAGTGAGGAGGTGCACTTCTGTTTCTGGCATATGGCTAGGTGAGCAATTAAGGAACAGAATTATGCATGTGGTCCCATCTGTGTGCACATGTGAGAGTGTACTGCATATGTGTAAATGCATTTGTAAACACTAAACCATTAATGATAGTTGCCTCCAAGGTTAGGATTTCGGGAAAAGCAAGGTGAGAAGAAATTTCGCTTTCAGTTTGTTTTTTTTTTTTTTTTTTTTTTTTTTGAGACAGAGCCTCAAGCTGTCCCCCTGGGTAGAGTGCCGTGGCACTACAGCTCACAGCAACCTCCAACTCCTGG